TATGGGGTTTTACTTTAAATAGTTCTTCTGGGATTCCCCCGTTAAAAATACCCACCGCAGTTTTGGGTTCCCACAACGCCTGTAATATTGAAAGTGAAGCCTCTTTCAGTAGTAATGATATTTCTCAAAGTGTTGTTAAATAAATTAAGTTGTAGGACAAAATCTTTGTGTTTAAGGAACAGTTCAAATTTCATACTTTTCTATAAAAGAATTTTTAAGTGTCACTATCTACACAGGATTATTCCTTTCTTCATTGTGGAACCAAACTGTCAGAAACCTGTAGATTTCTTTTAACACTCCAGTTGAATTTCGTTTCCAGCAGAGACTTGATGGGTTTAGGAGCTTCAGAAAGGCGAGCATGTTACAGTAACGTAACTGAAGCTTTGTGCGCTCACTTCCCAGATAGAGAAACGAGACATGAGGTTCAAGTTCTTGTTCCTGGTGCAGGATTAGGTCGACTTGCTTGGAACTTTGTTCAAGAAGGGTTTTCAGTGCAGGGGAACGAATTTTCTCTTTTTATGTTGCTTGCTTCAAATTTTATTCTCAATCAAGGTTTACAAGTAAGTTTTCTCCCACTTTTTTTTCAAGTTGGCTTTTATCTAGAAAATATCGGCTATGATGATTTATTATTTTGTTGGGTTTAGCATTTTCTTGACCGCAAATCAAGTTTTTGACTGAGATGACTGAATTTCCTGTTTAGTTTCTTAACCGCTTTGTAGCTTGTTTGACTTACTCCTACTTATAAAACACACGTTTGCTAAAGGATTTTATTTTTTTTTAGGGAGGCACATTTTTTTTTGTTTTGGACGATTTTTAAGACTGTTTAGGTTTTTGTTCATTTTAGTTTTGCTAGAGTCGTTTTTTTTAAAGTATTACATTCAAGGCCTTATTATGATCAAGATTTTGTTACCCTTTTTTAGTGCTAAGGTAAAATATTCAGGCAGGTGAATTTACCATTTATCCATATGTTTTGGAAACTTGCAACAATTGGTCTTACGAAGACCAGTTAAGGCCTGTTACATTTCCCGATGTTTCATTAACCTCCGACCCGGAAGATGTGAGCAGCTTTAAGTTTAAAGGTTTTTTTATAAATTTGCAGAAAATTGTTGAATATTTCGATTTAGAGGCTTAATACTTTTTCTATGTGTGCTGGAGACTTTTTACAAGTAACGAAAGATGATGATTTTCGTTGGTCTGCCGTTGTCACTGTCTTTTTTATTGACACTGCCATGAACGTTATTGAATATATTGAAACAATTCACAGGTTGAATATTCTTTTCTTACTGGCCTATTTAGTTCAAGTAGTTCAGTGTTTTGTAAGTGCAGTTACGTTACGCTTAAACTTAACCTTTCTCTACTATATGTTTTTGGAAATTAGGCCGTCATTACTACAGCTCCTATCAGGAAACTTTGGATTGATATTTAAAAAAACAGAGCCATAACCTTAGTAGATTTTTTGCAGCTAAATTGAAAATTTCTTAGGATTTTAAAAGACGGTGGGATATGGATTAACTTTGGACCTTTGACGTACCATTTTTCTGATACCGATGGCGCACTTGAATTACCCTATGACGAAATAATCAATCTGATAAAAAAGAAAGGGTTCAGGTGTGCTCAATTTTCTTCATATAAAGTTTATTTGATCAGCTTAGTTAAATCTTTTAGCTGTTACATAGTTAATGATGTTTCAGATTTGAAGAGGATAGACGTTCCGAAGCGGATTTTAAAGCCCTGTACGCTTCAAATCAGAAGTCCATGCTGCATTACGAATACCACTGTGGTTTTTTCAAATGTATTAAATAAATCGTTTAGTATGTTTCTGAGTCGAAAAACATTAATTGATTGGTTTGTTTCTGGCGTTTTTTAAGGTTTGATTTTGACATTTTTACCTTACCGGGATTGTGAAGTTCTTATTTTGTTTTTCTATTAGGTTGGTCCACAAAAATCTGTCAATTTTTTTCTTTCATCTATTACATCGTCACTTCCGTTCGAGGACCTGTGTCGCAGTAAGAACCTTGAAAATTGCCTTCATTTGCGAGCGTGGTATAATGTCTAACATTTTTAATAAAAAATTTTGGATTTCAAGGTAGGGGGTTGCTCAATTTTGCTTTTTTTTTGTCCTGAGTCAAATAAATTTCTGTCACAACTGAATGCTTCAAGTCTCTGAGAAAGTGGTACTCAGTAGATGAAAAATAGACGTGGGAGAACTTCGAAACACAAACTCGCTTCTCAGTTTTTTCCACTGCATTCAAAACACAGGGTCATGGGCTGTCATCAGTGGTAGTTGCTCTTCTTTCCGAGAGTGTGTGACGCACTTCTAATTAATTTACATCTTATCGTTAGAGACACTTCTTGCAGTTGCCTTGTAATCAGCATTAACAAGTTTTATGGAAAGCCCTACGAATGTGTGAGCAATAATCACTGTACCTGAAGCTGTTGGAGGTTTGACTTTGCTACTTAGCTCTCAAGTGATTGACATTTACCTAATGACTTTACGCCCATCTTGCAGCATCTGCTTCTTTATCGCAGGTAACAAACTGGTCCAAAAGCGGAACTGTTCTGAGTTGTCTGGGGGAAGTTCTGTGATGACGCGCGGCAGCCGCCCGCTGCGGTTTGATGAACTCATGTTGTAACCATTGTCCTACCCTTCTTTAATTCCGCAGGCAGGTGCTGAGATACCGTTTCGTTTGATGTCCCAGTTTTTTGAGTCTTACTGCAAGTAGTACCTTCCAGAATACCCTCAACTCATGTCTCTATTTTGTGGTCATCAGAATGAGACAATCTGCACAGAAAATGTCCGCTTTCCAGTTATTGATCTCTTTCAAAAGCCGCTCTTTTTCAAAAGACTCTCCAAACACACTGTTGATTCCTTAACTGCCTGTGGTAACACTACTTTCTTTTTCCAAAAAGAAATAAAAAACGCTGTTTTTTTTTTCAATGAATAGAAGTTTAAGACGAATTTAAAAGTAAAAATTAAAACAAATGTGTAATATATGAAGACAGATTTCATAAGTTTACCAAATGTCATCCATTTTCAATCGTCTTGCTGTACCAGTGAGCTCAGAAAGTTAAAACATGTATATTAGCAGATAGATCTTTGTGGACTAACTCAGTAAAGCACACGGAAAATGAATTATATTTGATAATTCTTTGGAGTTCTTTACTGGAAATATTAGATGCACAACATTTACATTAAGCTCTATTTACAAATAGTAATCCGTGAGGAAGAAAATATGTATGTACAAGATCAGTTAATTGGGTTTTTTTAAATGCAACAAATATATGTTTTTGTCTTCACATGAGGATGAATAGGTTTGTTACAATTGTAAATCAAAATGAATGTTCTTGCATTATTGAGTAATTAAGTTTCTTCAAAATTAGTGATACAGAATGATTCTATTTTTTTGGGACATTACGCTTTACACCCGTAAGAAATATACTTTCCGGTACATGCTGCTTGTTCAGAATGCCCTCTCGTTAGCCAGGAACAGTAGGCCTTGTGCTATGTATGAGAGCGTTTTTGTGGTGAAACTGAATTTATCAATTCGTACGCCAAAACGACTGATTATTACTAGAGAGCTGCATCCGAAACATAACAGAAGCCCAATAAACCGGACCAAATCAGCCTGTAACATTTGATTCTAACAAGGTTTTAAAGCTCTTCCGATCTTGTTCCTTTGAATTTATATTTGGAACTTCAAGGGGGTAATTCCATATTTTGTCAAGTAGGACTAAAAAAATTACCTGTGAGGCACCCGTCGCAGAATTCCATCGCCATAGTGAAGCTGCTGCAATTAATGAACCGCAGATAATTGCAATCTGCAGGGCATTAAGTACAGTTAGCATTGGAAATGACCAGTAGATATCACCAAAACAATGATATATTAAAGAAAAATAGCAGATTATGATTGGTACGCAAATTTGGTACCAAATTTTACGGACGTAAGAGACAAATGACGCCAGATAGAACAAATGAGAAATTGCTATTAAGACACAGGACCACTCAGCTCCTCGGCGACTTACAATTTGTATATAATGGCCTTCCGCTGAAAACAAAGTAAAATTAGACTAAAGCTATTTGTAAGCTTTAAGTGCTTATTAAAACTGTGATGTAAAAGGCCAAAGGACGACGGTTACAAAGCATACCTAACGCCAAAAATGAAGCCGCTGTACATAGCTTGGGCTTCTTCTCCATTGTGAGTGGTAGTGTTAATGCAGCCAATGTGATAACCGGCAGTACATGTAAAAATGGGGCTTCGTCACGAAACTCATGACTTTCAATATAGGAAACAAATGCAAGCATACTGTATAGTAGCAGTATTTGAACTGGATTTGAAAAATGCATGTTGATCTGAAAACTTCATAAGGACTGCTTAAATTTATAACGGAGCTATAATTAGAAAAATAAACTGGCGTTGTTATTGGACGATAAAACGTGATGTAATCAACATTATAGCAACTCCCGTTCATGTAAGCATTTCATTAAAAAAAAGTATTTGTTCAAAACATAAAAAAGCTTCTTTTTTTTTTTTCTGTTTCACAAGCAATGCTTATAGGTTAGTCATCTGATAAGTCGATCATAAAAATAAGTTATTTTTTAATCTCATTTATTTGAAGAAATTTAATCAATCGGTTATTTAATTTCAAAAGAAAAAAAATTTTTTTTCTTCACTTTTTTACTGCTTGTTTTTGGAAGTAATAATCATCTTCCTTCAGTAATATTTTTGTTAATTAATAGCTAAGATATTTAAAGTAGAATACAGAGAAACTGTTTAATCTTGGAGATACTTAGTTAAAACAAAAGTAACCAAGATTCTAGTTAAAAAATAGACTTAAAAAATAGTAATTTAATTACAGATTTATTCATTTTGTAATCATTTAGCGAGTAAAAGAGATAACAGCAGGACGAAGAAGGCAAAAAAAAAAAAAAAAAGAAAAAAATATATGTATATATGTGACACAAAAATGTAAAAAGATTGTTAATCGACAATATTGGTTTTTATCCGGTGAGAACTTTTAGAACATTACTTTGAGAACATTACTGCAGATTACAGTTATTGAGATAATAAGCTGTTTAAATACACAGTAATGCTTGAAATAACGCAGTTCAACGGACACAAACAGTAACCAATAAACAGGAATTATTGGCTAAAAATACTGAACTGTAGATGGGGTTTTAGCATTTGTCGGCTGCCACTAACCAGCACCTCAAAGAACGAACATTTATATTGTATACCATAGCATACCATGAGAAAATGAACCCTTGAGAATTTGTTCCATTTAATACTATTGAGTTTTGTCTGATCTTTGAACTACAATAATTCAAAGTGGTGCACGTGAATTACACTTAAGACTTCTCTGCCAATTTCGCTTTCAGCAAACCCATTTAGCTTAATGTGTTGACACTTATCTTAAACTTTTTGTTTTTTGTTTTTTGTTTTTTTTTTTTTTT